ATTGACAAAAAACAAAAGGCCCTTTCTACAAAAACATTTAAATACTGAAGGTAAAAAGTCCAAATTATCCATTTTTAAATATACCATTGTCAATATCATAACAAATGATAGGTTTCACTATTGAACAATTTGTTTATTTACTACAAATAAATCGCGTTGATAGAAACAAACTTTTCAATTTAAATAGTTTTTTGTTTCTCCTGTAAAATTTAAAAAATGTTTCATAGGGCCGTTTGCGTTTTAGGTGACTATATATGTATATGTTTGTATATCCGTTTGTTTAGAGAATCCAACGTTCGCAGGGAACGTTTTACAGCAGCCAGTATCGCACTTTATAGGTATTTTGTTATACCTTTTTATTTAAAGCCTTTTTATCAAAAATAAAATTTGGCAAATTTTACGTTAAAGTATCTAAATACATATATATTTTTGTCCATAACCCTACCAAAAAAAAAAGAATGATCCTGGCCCTGCTGTATAAAATGAGGCCCAAGCCATCAGTGATTCATAGCAGTAATTTACTGTCTTTTCAAATACGAAAAATTACGAAATGCATTAAAACCAGTTTTGTAAAATAATATATTTTTTTGCAGATTTTAATCGTATAGATTGGTTAATATTGGCTGAACGATTTTTTTGCCTTTATACCATTATATTGTATTATCTGGCAATAAAAACCAGGGATATTTGCACATTATGTACCAGACTATGTATTCAGACATTTTACATCAAAATTTAAGAAATGATTTTAAGAAAATGGCTTTTATTGTTAGACGGTACTGATCAGGATAATGATCCAAATACACAAAGCACATAAACTGTGATTTTAGCTACTGTAAAGCTATTACCTCCGAGTCCTATCGTAATATTATGATATCCTCTTAATTAAAACTTATGTTTTTTCAGCAAATCTCAAATATATTAAGTACAAAAATGTAAAAAATTTTACATAATTACTATCAAAAATTTGTCATCTTCATCCGAAAAAGACTCTAATTCATTCTAAAAATAAAATACTGTAAATTAATTATTTATTTTTTAATTACAACAATAAAAATAATAAGCAACACGATTATGTTAACGTAGTAAACTTAATGTAAGTATGTAAGTACAAAATTTAAAAATACATTCTACATTTATTACAGTTTCATATTTAAGAATCATCAACCTATGTCCTGATATATTGTATATAAGTACTTTTTTCATATAACATGAAAATAATTGCAACAACATTTCAATTATTTTCATTTTTTTATTATTCAACAAGTAGACTCAATTGTAGGTTTATTTACGAATTGAATTTTTAATTGAATCGAATGTTTGTTTTGTTATCTAATAACAATGAATGAATGAAGTCATTGTACAGCCGGTTGACATCAATTACATCAAGTCAGAGATTCTCGATAAATGGCTGACCAATTGTTTTTAAATAAATGCAAAATAATTTTTTTAACCTTAGAACAACAATTACATACATAGTATGTATGAATTTAAATTATATTGGAATTAATTTTTATTTAAATACAATACACTGAATTATACAATACCCTAAACATTTGTGTATGTAAGTATTTAGAAAGTACACCTTAAAATTATCAAGAAAGAGATTCGGCATAGTTGAATTTTGAAATACCCACCATTAAAACATTATCATACTATATCGATATCAGACTTGGGGGGTAATGACTACATTTTCAATTACATTTAAAGTAATTGTAATTACTTGTTATGGGGAATTTTGTTCGTTATAATTACATGTAATTGGAATAGCAATTACAAGTAATTGACCATGTAATGAATTATTTTGTGTAATAATTACCCCCATGCCTGATAGATATTAAATGCACATAAGTGTGTTTTTCGGTAGAGAGCCTTTAGGTCAATTGTGGACTGCACTCTGCAAAATTTGTTAAAATTTCACCGTTTTGAAACGGTTGTCAAAAGTTATTGTTTTTAAAGTATTCCATTATATATTTGTTTGCTGGGTTATAGTGATTTTCTTAATTTATAAACCAAGGAATACTTCTTATCTGTAAATATTTAATAAATATGTATATTTTTCGGACTTTAAATCTATTTTTAGAAACAATTTTGTGAATAAATGTCTTGGAAGTCCTATTATCCCGATATTTTTGCAAGTGTGTTAAATTTACACAGAACTCGTCTGTGAAGTGAAGGATATGTTATTGTTGTAGAACAATGTCATAGTCCAACTTCTTCCCTTCAGGAAATGAAGCGATAATTGCCTTAATGTCACTAGTACTGAAACTAGAAAAACACACCCTAGTGGACAGACACTATGGAAAAATACTAGTACCAGAAGTAGTTGAAGAATACCACTTGTTTGACATGTTTTGGAAAAAATAAAATTTTAAAATTAGTAAAATATAATTTTCAGACATTTTGCATAAAAAGACAATATTTTCAAAAATGTCCTTTCAAATCAGAGGATAAATTGTGAATGACAATTGAGGTCCAGTTGCAAGCAGATCCCTATGTAAGTTGTATGTTTAATAAGTTTAATATTTGTTTTATCGTACGGCAAATGTTTTTAAAACGAAATGGCGATACCTGAATGGAATTTTTGGACATAATATAATCCATGATATCAACGTTGGTGATACCTAAAGAATCGGAATTTGTTCAAACTTTCACATTGAATCATTAGGTATAAAAATGTATTCACAATATTTTATATTTAAATTTTTTTGTATTTTTATAAAAACTAGTTGTGTAGTAATTTTCACTTGGAACCACGCAGGAGAATTACAAGGGAGCAAAAGTACCAATTATAGCAACTTTTTGTGAATATTAGAACTTAATTCAATTAAATTAAACATTTTTCCAAAAGAGGAGTTTTATAGGGGCAAGAAAGAAAATAATTTTATCGTAATACTAGTGCTCATAAGTGAATTTTTACGCATCGGTGTTTCTGATCCTTATGTGTATACCATAATCGCCGTTAGGGTGCTAAATATGTAATATCCCAATATTATTGGTTAATTTGTTTTCATTTATTTGCAACACTATAAATATTGATTTTATTTTGGAATTTTAATGAAAATTAAAAAATGTGTTTAAAAATAGAATAAAATTCAGCGCTAAATTGTGCATCTTCCTACGTACAGTTTGAAAGAATAACAATTAAAAATTAATATAAATTAAAAATTTTCATAACATTCCATAAAACTTTCAGTTTTCTACCGAATTAATTTTCATTTCAATATGAATTTCTTCAGATCATCATTAACAACACATTAATGATGATCGAATATCTAGACATTTTCTTTGCCCCACTCTAATGAGTTTTCATTTGAATATTTTCAATTGATTCATAATTTTTGACGAATGACGTGCAATAGACCAACATGCTGCTGACTACTATTATCTGTCTGACGTCAAAGCTCGAACGACTACCACAAACAATAAACATTTTCCTTTCTTTATTTTTATTCTTATTGCTTTTATTGTTGTAGAAATTTTAAAATTGTATTTACTTAACACTTGTCTTAACTCAAGATATATGTATGTTCACATGTACATTAGAGTGTCCCGAGGAATAGCCTTTTTAAAAATACCACTCAATCGATGCGTATTCATGTACTGAACAGGAAAAAAAAACATTATTTTTAATGAAATTGAAAATCCAAAATTCGTCTCAAAAATTCTATAATTTGAGCTGATTACGGGAAAAATAATTTAAAAATTTCTGTAGAATATTTTTGGTTTACAAAATGATTTTTAGTGCGTTGGAGAGCCATATTGTTTTTGCTTTTTATCGAAATGCGTTTCAAAATTGTCGTAATTTTACAGAAAAATATTTAAAAAACTGTTTGGCATTTGGTTTAGTCCGTTGCAGAATTTTAAAATTTTTATGCCTCTATAATACAATAAAAGTCGTTTTGCAGACCAGAAATACTGTAACTAAAATTTGAATTATTTTTCTCTCAACAAGCTCAAAATTACGGAATTTTTGACACCCAATTCAAAAAGATTGCAGACATTTTTTAACATACTGTACAAGATTTTCAATCACAGGTAGGGAACTGAGGACCTTTTTCAAAAAATTGTTTTTTATTTTTCTCGTATTTAGTACGTTAAAAAGGCATCGTTTTAGAGGTATTCCTCCTAAAAAGTGGTCCACGGGACACCCTAATGTAGAGGGTATATATAAGTTTGTCATTCAGTGTGTAACACCAAGAAATATTCATCTGACACCCAACAAAGTGTCCTTATGAACTTATACAACATAAAAAGTTATGAGCAAAAATTTTAGACTACCTCGAAAAAAATAATTTTTTTCCTAATTCTCGAGTAGTTTTCTCAAAAACTACAGAAGATAATTCGATGAATTCTGTCACACGTCATTTTTTGGTCATACAAAGGTACATATATATTCTAGAAAATGGATTAATCGTTAATAATTTTGTCAAAAATATCGGTATCAGCACGAAATGTATGTATATAATATGAACAAAAATCGATCCATAATTAATCGTAGCTCCCATATAAGGTCCACTTCCAAAAATCACTTACACAAATGCACATAAGTAATAATGAAATGAATATATTGGAATATTATATATGTATATATATATATATATATATATATATATACACATACTTATTTATGAAAATGAATCAAAACCCAACAAACCAAATGTATTGAGAATAATATTATGTTAAGCTTACCAACACAAGCATTAAGCTTGAAAAAGTCTTAAAAATCTTGAAAAAAGTTATCGTAACAATTGTAGAAAAATCAAAACGGAACCCTCGTAATAATATTACATGTGTAATATTACTAAAAGCTTATTCTTGCAATTGTAGAATAAGCTTACAAATGTAGTATTATATTAAGTGTTGTATTTAAAAGCTTACTGTCTCAATATTTTCATAAGCTTTTCCACACAAATGGAGAATAAGCTTGATAATAATAAAAAATAATAATTTTCTTCAATTAAATATTATTTATCTATTTTATTGTGTGTTTTTTTTTTAGTTTTATAATTGTTTCTGAGCTTAATTCGATTTTTTGCGAATTGGAAATATGTACGAGTGTCCTTTATAAACTGATCCTCTGATATTCCAATGGACAATGCTGCACCTATAAATTGTAGATATTTAATAATTATAATAGTGTATTTAAAATTTTGTAATTTTTTTAATTTTTTCTTACTTCGTATTGCCTTTGTTGTGCTAAGATTTCGTACACTTTTCTTTGATTCAGTGCCTTTCCAGCATAACTGTTCTCCTAATACGTCAGTTATTAGTTTTCTCTTGCAATTTTTTGTAAAATTTGGAGTTTTGGCAACCAGTGTTAACTCCTTTTCCTGAAAAAGGTGATAAGAAAAAAAATATTTTCATATGTACAATGAATAGGATTCCAATAAAACTTACAAAAAATGCAAAGTTTTCGCTATTTTCTTGAAGCTGTTTTTCAAAATCAAAGAAGAGCTCAATTTCTTTAAATGGTTCATCAGGCATTACGGTGCGTTTTATTTCAGCTTTTTCTTTCTTTAATACCTGCAATTCCTTGCGCATGCTTTGGACTTCGTTAGTTAACCGGGTTAACATTGGATGAATTGCTGCAACCACTTTATTCGCTATTTCTGAAATAAAATAATATGTAATAATTTTTTTTACAGAAATTTTTTATAAATTCTTTATTACATTCAGAATTTGGAAAATTTGTATTGATGATGTTGTTTTGGTTAGTTGTTGGTGGTTCCAGAGTAGTTATGTTGCGTTGTTCGTTTGTGAAATATAGGTTGAAATCATCCGACATTGTAAATTATTTTATTATTTTATTTAACAGACAGCAATCGTCAAATTTCTTTAAAAATAATTTAGAAACAGTTGTGTACAACAATATTTTCTCAACTATAGTTGACAACTGCTTGCGAATTCACATTTTAAAAACATTTTTATAATATTAATAAAAAAAGGTTAAAAACAACTATTATTATAAGCTTATTCTCAAGTTATATTGCGGTTTGATTGCTAAATGGTATGTTGGGAAATATCAAACATGTTTTGTTTTCAATGTATTTTTTTAAACAAATAATTTATTTGACATTTTTTTTCTATTTGCCAGGAAGAAATTTTCTGGCTAAAACCTGCAAGTTCTGGCAAAGAGAAAATAATTTTAATTGCTCAAATTTGTTCTCTTTTACAATTTCTGGTAAAAACCTGCAAACTTGACAAGTAAAGGAACAAAGCTATTATATATCTGGAAAACTATTGTAGTTAGAATCTTCAAATCGTTAAGTGGCTTTTTTATTTATACATATTGCTTTTCGGGTAGCAAAGCACACTGGATATAGCTAGTATACATATATTAATGAAATATATTCCATAAAGTGGCTTAAGGAGTGGATCTTATATGAGAGTTATGACTAATTATGGACTGATCCGAAAAATATTTTAGTATGATTTGTATATATATACAAAATGTACTGATGTAAAATTTTATATTTCTTCGGAATTTTGATTTTCGGAAGTGAATCTTATATGACAGATATGACCAATTAGGGACGGATGCGTAAACATTTTCGCAGAGTGGTTTATATGTAATTTAAATACAATCAGGAATAATCTTCTGTCAGTGATGAAATATGTGCGTATACGTGGTTATCGGAAGTGGGCCCAATGTGGGAACCGACCAATCCGAGAAATATATATATATATATATATATATACATATATCATTAATATATGTATACTAGCTATATCCAGTGTGCTTTGCTACCCGAAAAGCAATATGTATAAATAAAAAAAACACTTAACGATTTGAAGATTCTAACTACAATAGTTTTCCAGATATATAATAGCTTTGTTCCTTTACTTGTCAAGTTTGCAGGTTTTTACCAGAAATTGTAAAAGAGAACAAATTTGAGCAATTAAAATTATTTTCTCTTTGCCAGAACTTGCAGGTTTTAGCCAGAAAATTTCTTCCTGGCAAATAGAAAAAAAATGTCAAATAAATTATTTGTTTAAAAAAATACATTGAAAACAAAACATGTTTGATATTTCCCAACATACCATTTAGCAATCAAACCGCAATATAACTTGAGAATAAGCTTATAATAATAGTTGTTTTTAACCTTTTTTTTATTAATATTATAAAAATGTTTTTAAAATGTGAATTCGCAAGCAGTTGTCAACTATAGTTGAGAAAATATTGTTGTACACAACTGTTTCTAAATTATTATTAAAGAAATTTGACGATTGCTGTCTGTTAAATAAAATAATAAAATAATTCACAATGTCTGATGATTTCAACCTATATTTCACAAACGAACAACGCAACATAACTACTCTGGAACCACCAACAACTAACCAAAACAACATCATCAATACAAATTTTCCAAATTCTGAATGTAATAAAGAATTTATAAAAAATTTTTGTAAAAAAAATTATTACATATTATTTTATTTCAGAAATAGCGAATAAAGTGGTTGCAGCAATTCATCCAATGTTAACCCGGTTAACTAACGAAGTCCAAAGCATGCGCAAGGAATTGCAGGTATTAAAGAAAGAAAAAGCTGAAATAAAACGCACCGTAATGCCTGATGAACCATTTAAAGAAATTGAGCTCTTCTTTGATTTTGAAAAACAGCTTCAAGAAAATAGCGAAAACTTTGCATTTTTTGTAAGTTTTATTGGAATCCTATTCATTGTACATATGAAAATATTTTTTTTCTTATCACCTTTTTCAGGAAAAGGAGTTAACACTGGTTGCCAAAACTCCAAATTTTACAAAAAATTGCAAGAGAAAACTAATAACTGACGTATTAGGAGAACAGTTATGCTGGAAAGGCACTGAATCAAAGAAAAGTGTACGAAATCTTAGCCACAACAAAGGCAATACGAAGTAAGGAAAAATTAAAAAAATTACAAAATTTTAAATACACTATTATAATTATTAAATATCTACAATTTATAGGTGCAGCATTGTCCATTGGAATATCAGAGGATCAGTTTATAAAGGACTCTCGTACATATTTCCAATTCGCAAAAAATCGAATTAAGCTCAGAAACAATTATAAAACTAAAAAAAAACACACAATAAAATAGATAAATAATATTTAATTGAAGAAAATTATTATTTTTTATTATTATCAAGCTTATTCTCCATTTGTGTGGAAAAGCTTATGAAAATATTGAGACAGTAAGCTTTTAAATACAACACTTAATATAATACTACATTTGTAAGCTTATTCTACAATTGCAAGAATAAGCTTTTAGTAATATTACACATGTAATATTATCACGAGGGTTCCGTTTTGATTTTTCTACAATTGTTACGATAACCTTTTTCAAGATTTTTAAGACTTTTTCAAGCTTAATGCTTGTGTTGGTAAGCTTAATATAATATTATTCTCAATACATTTGGTTTGTTGGGTAAGCTTAATATAATATTATTCTCAATACATTTGGTTTGTTGGGTTTTGATTTATTTTCATAAATAAGTATGTGTGATTGTAGTTTTTCAATTTTATTTTAATTTCGATAGAAATTTATATGAATAAACTTCAATACAAATTTATTGAAAGAGAAATTTTGTTTTTTCTGTTCCCGTACTTTTTATAAGTACAAAGAGAAAATTTATTAATTCTCTTTAGCCAGAAAAGTTCTGGAACAACCCAGCGGTAAATGAAACAAAGCACTTAGATAATATTCGATGACATCAGTATGACGTTCTAAGCGAGCAATCTAAGTACTTAGAGTGCAATGTATGCGTAATCCAACATATCATGCACTTTAATTATAACGATTTAAGCAGAGAGTTAGCTGCCTTTTTCATGTTGTTTTTTGTTTTTATATCTTTACAAAAAAAAAACAGAACTAAAGTACCGTTTTATTTTTCTTTTGTATGTATCGGTACTACATGAAAAGAATAATATTTTTGTTTCAGTTTAAAGTTGATCTTTTGTAAGTGAAGTTGTGTTTTCTTAAAAAAGTTATTTTATTTTAAAAATTTAAAATAATTGTGGTGACCCAAATGGCACAAAGGGATTTAAAAATTGGGGTAAACTTACTTCATACATTCTAGTTTTAATACTGACAATTTCCTCTTGTTTGTTTACAGAATCTGTAAAGGAAGATGGCCGAAAGTTTCAAAAGAAAATTAAGATTCATTTCATTTATCTTCGTCCAAATTGTTTAATTATATTTTTATTGAATTAATTATAATACATGTTTATTATTTGATGATAATTTTTAAATAAACTTACATAATTTGAAATAAACGTAAAAAAATATATATTTTTTCTATAACAAAATCGGAAGACATGGAATTTTAACTTACAAATGCAAATAGGATTGTAATCTACATACATTACATTTTTATTTGCAAGCGTTTATAGGCGTCTTATTAACTTCGCTTAGAACTCCACACATTATGTAAGTGAAATTTTTATTTGTCTTAATGAAACTGTGGCTTACATTCTAAGCGAGAGCACATCGATGAGGCAGCCTAGGACACTTTTATGTTAAATCTAAGTGGAAGAATAAGTGAAAGCATCACCACTGACTGCCACGAAATATCACTTAGATAAGCGAGTACATAATGTGTATTTTTACCGCTGGGAAAGCTAATATGTTACATATGAGAGATGTCAAGCAAATTATTGCAAGTTCGCCAGTTTCTATCTATGTATCTATGAAAAATTTTAATAATATAAAAGTTTCCAGGAAATTTTGTATTTAATTCTTATATGTTGTGCCAAGCCACCCATAGAAAGTCCGACCGTTATTCTCTAAATTTTCATATAAATGTCAAAGTTCTTCATGTAAAATTTGAAGATTTTAGCTCTAATAGTAATTAATCATTCGCGAAATTTTGTTCGGATTGACCAATAATTGGCCATATTTCCATGAACGGTCAATAAATTAGTTATGGACTTGATCAAAATTCCCTCATCACGGAAGCAAATTTTTAACCTTCACAATTTGTTAAATACGTATTTAAAAATATTTAGACGGGTTTTGATAAAAAGTAGCTTACAGCTAGAGGGTATTTAATATTCGGCAATAGAGTACCCTAAGTTGTTTATTAAATTTTTTTATTAAAATGACAATGAAGTTCTCTAATTCTCAGAAGATAATTAAATTAAAGCAAATTTGAATAGAACAGTTAGAATAATAATAATAAATACATAATTTATTTTGATGAAAAATCGAGTTGTAACAAAGCTTTTAATAATATACAACTAAGACAAAAATACAGTGCGGGAAATTTCACTTTTCATTCTCTAAAAGAAATATTATTCGCTAAAACATTCGCTAAGATTTAGCGAATGCGAATGTAAACAAGTAAGAGTGTTATATTCGGCTATGCCGAATCTTATATACCCACCAGCAAACCGTTTACGGAAAAGGTTAAATTATGGACAGATCCTCATAAAATTTTATAGAGCTATGTTTGTTTATATAAAAATTGTTTTTTTTGTGTTTTTAAGCTAATAATTTGCATTCATTTAATTTTCTGAAGAGGACCTGCATTTTCTGAGTGGTAATGTAATGAGCGTTATAATCATTTTCTGAAATGGACCTTATATGGGCGGAAGTAAAGAAAATGGTGAGTGATAGCATAGCTAAACTACCGATTACTAAGAAAAGACTATCTGGAGCACGGGGGAGAAAGTTGAAAAAGATGCAACAGAAATCATAGTTTGTCAATCCCACGACACTCCAAATGAAAAATCGGACTCTCTCACAAAGTCTGAGGCAAAGAGGTTCGAGGAGTAGAGTAAGGTAGAAGATCTGGTCAACAATAAGAT